TTGTATTTAAGTATTGCCCAAAGGTTACTTAAATACATGCTTTAAAGTCTAAAAGCCTTCTATGAATCTGTATTAAAGTTTCAAAGCACTAATGGGTAAGCATGTGTAAATGCTTGCAGCTTCATCAAATTTGTTTGTATCTGCTAACTCTGTCGTAAAATTCAATGGGATGAATTATGGAGAATGGTCCAATCAAATCCGGTTTACATTGGGTGCAATGGCATTGGACCGTGCAATCCTAACGGATGAGGAACCCTCAGCCATTACTGAAAAGAGCTCTGAAAGTGAAAAGTCTAAGTTTGAGGCTTGAGAGCGATCTAGCAGGTTGAGTTTGAACCTCATGAGGATGACGATGGCGGAAAGTATTAAGTCATCTATGCCTAAGACAGAGAAAGCAAGAGAATTCATAGAGAAAATTAAGGAGTGTTCACAATTGGATTTGGCTGACAAGTCGATTGTAGGAAGTCTCATGAGTGAGCTAACTACGAAAAAGTTTGACTGGTCTCAACCAATCCATGATCATGTGACGCACATGTCTAACTTGGCAGCAATTCTTGGTCCAATTCATCATGAATTCCCTGCCCGTTGAGTTTAGCCAGTTTCAGGTGAATTACAACACCATTAAGAAGAAATGGAACTTTAAGGAGTTAAAGGCTATGCTGATTCAGGAGGAAGGGAGATTAAAGAAGATGAAGGAACAAGTTGCTAATCTCGTAGGTCTTGGAAGTGCCAGCAGCATGAAAGGAAAGCCAAGTAGATGGGACAAAAAAAAGGACAAGACTTTTGTGAAAAGACCTGAAAGTCAAATCCGGAAAGAAAAGAAGTGTCTCTTTTGCAAGAAAATAGGACACTTCAGGAAAGATTTTCTTAAAAGGAAGGCATGGTTGATAAGAAAGGTAAACATTTTACAGTTTTGTTTGCTCTGAATTGAATATTATAGAAGTGCCTAATAATACTTGGTGGTTAAGACTCTGGTGCTACTACTCATGTGTCTCATATTAAACAGGGATTCAGTARGATCCAGCCTATAAGAGGACKTGAYCAYTYCTTGTTCATGGGAAACAGGATGAAGGCACGAATTGAAGGCATTGGGACGTATAGATTGATCTTGGACACAAGATGTCATGTAGATCTAGAAGGGTGTCTCTGTGTACCTGAATGTGCTAGAAATCTTGTTTCKGTAAGTAGGTTGGATAATTTAGGGTTTGATTTTAAGATTGGACATGYTGTTTTCTCATTGTACCGAAACGATTACTTTTATGGTAGTGGTACTTTATTTGATTCACTTTATAAGTTCAATCTTGATGGAAAATTTTCTGAATCCTTATTTAATATTGAAAGTTGAGGCATTAAACGTAGCGCATCAGATGAAAGTTTTGCTTTCTTGTGGCATCAAAGATTATGTCACATTTCCAAAGAAAGGATGATGAGGTTGGTAAAGAATGAAATTCTCCCTCAATTGGACTTTAGTGACCTAAATGTGTGTATAGACTYCARTAAAGGAAAGCAGACTAAACATGMTGTAAAGAAKCCAGCCATAAGAAGCACTCAMCTGC